TGGACAAACTGTTGAGTGATAAAATATAAATGGGCAAACTGTTGAGTGATAAAATATAAATGGATAAACTGTTGAGTGATAGAATACAGATGGACAAACTGTTGAGTGATAGAATACAGATGGACAAACTGTTGAGTGATAAAATATAAATGGGCAAACTGTTGAGTGATAAAATATAAATGGATAAACTGTTGAGTGATAAAATATAAATGGATAAACTGTTGAGTGATGGGATACGTTTGGACAAACTGTTGAGTGATAGAATAAAGATGTTCGTAAAGAATCTATTAGTTAACTGTGTTATAGTAACTGAAGATGGTAATCGAACTTAGTGTTGGTAAGCAAACTGTTAGTTGACTGTGTTGAAGTTACTGAAGATGGTAATCAAACGCGATGTTCGTAAACAATCTATTAGTTGACTGTGTTATAGTGACTGAAGATGGTAATCAAACTTAGTGTTGGTAAGCAAACTGTTAGTTGACTTTGTTGAAGTTACTGAAGATGGTAATCAAACGCGGTCTACATAAAAAAATGTTGAAGAAAGTTAATAAGACGTGAATTTTATTTGTATTTCATTTCTCCATTATGTTCTTCTTGGAACAAAGAAGATGAAAGTAAAGCATGTTAATGATTTTGTATTCACTTTTTATTCTATGATTACCACAAAATACAATCCATCGTTTTCTATTCAATGATTACCACAACAATACAATCCATCGTTTTCTATTCTATGATTACCACAACAATACAATCCATCGTTTTCTATTCTATGATTACCACAACAATACAGTCAATCGTTTTCTATTCTATGATTACCACAACAATACAATCCATCGTTTTCTATTCTATGATTACCACAACAATACAATCCATCGTTTTCTATTCTATGATTACCACAACAATATAATCCACCGTTTTTTATGATGTTGTATATTTATATTATCCATATAACAGAAGAATAATTTGCGCTATGTGTTTTATATTAATTATATAATTGAGGTTTAAAAGTAGTTTCTCTCATCCTTAGTATTATACTTTCTATTTTATGTTAACTTTCACATAATTCTATTAAATTTGTTATAAACTATCATTCGTCTCCTATTTAAGATTTAAGGGGCTAACGTTCATTTAATGTGCCTTATGTCTATATTTTTTATCTCCAAATAAATCGATAAATAACAGATATAAAACTTTCTTCCTCTATGTTGTCAGTGCCTCCTAAGCCAACCTGTGAGACGGATGACGGACAATGGAAATACTTTAAAGACACAGATGCTTGCTACCACGTGAAGAAGGGCAGTTGGATACAAAAGTACACTTGGTATGAAGGTGAAGATTACTGTGCTGAAAATGGAGGCCATTTGGTATCCATTCATTCCAAAGAAGAAAACGACTACATTCATAAAATGGTATGAAGATTTAAAGCTATACATTTTATTTGCTGTAACTTTTGTGTCGTGAGTGTTTCCTTACATGGTTACAAGATCTTTGGATATGAGGATGTAAGAATTTACTGTAATAAATATTTTCCTCGTGGCACAGTTATTACATATATTACCACAGAATTTTAGTGTCATATATCGCACAGCTGCTATATATACAAATAAAGGGAAGGCTTTTCAGAAAAGAAATTAAATGTAGGGATGGCTAATATGAATCCTTCAAAAAGAATGTAAACAAGATAGTAAGGATGGATTTACATCATCCGTACATAATAGTACTGGCACACAGTGTAGTAGAATGTTAACAGACAAAAATAGGATAAATTAAACTCAATTGTGATTGAATATATATATATTGGTATATGCTAATTCTATTCTGTGCTATTATGTAAGGATGGTGTAAATGCCATCCCTACTATCTGTTGTTGGTATTAGTCTTCCTTACATTTATTTCCGTTTTTCAAAAGTGTTTCTTCATTTTTTTGTAATGCAGTGTTTCAATAGACATAGGAAGGTTGTATTTATAACCAAGTTCTAAATGGAATGAGGTTGTAACTGTAATATTTACTGTTTATTTATTATTGGCTAGCAAATCCTGTTTTATCCTGCACAATTGTTTTGCTTTTTGAGTTATCAAATAATAAAAAGGTACAAGAAAAAAGAAGAACAAGAAATTCACACTTTACAGGCATTCCAAGAACTTGTGACTCAGTCATTACATAGATATTGTTATAAAAGGAAACACTGTAAAGTATTGTAAAGTTCTGATGACCTATTGAGGTGATATTTAAAATACCATTTCGACGAACAATTCGAGCCATCTCTACATAGGCAGTGCTACTGCCTGCCTGATTACCATAGAATGTGAGTGTTTTTTACCGCACAGTTACAATATATATTGTATATATTACCATAAAATGTAAGTATCATGTAATTCGTGTTCATTGTACGTTGTAAGAATTATTTGTATATGCTAATACAGTGACTTGTCGCTGTGGGTGCCAGTCATAGCACCAGTGCTATGTTCAGTGTCAATATATGTGATTCGTAGTAAATTCCCAACTATTCAACCGTGCAATATTACCAATATTAACATACTGGAAAGAGTTCTGAGAAGAGCTTCTAGAACTTTTCCAGGGATAGAAGGGTTATTTTATATGGTTGATTTAAGACCTCTTAACATCTTTCCTTATGGAACAATAGGAGTAAGAGCATATCAAACTTAAATTTGTAAGACTATCCAGTGGATCGACGGGATAAATACCTCTGATTTATTTTGGCTGCATTCTGAATATAATAAGGCAAGAGGACTCAAGTTTCAGGTTTGTAAAAGAAAGGTAACTCTCAAATTGAGATAGTTTTGTTTTTCTAATAGGGTAAGTGCTTATTGAATGAGCCACCATCAGATGTGGTGGAGGCCAGCACTGTACAATAGTTTAAAATGGGATCAATAATTTCCTGGGAAATAAAGGCGTGTTTAAATTTTCTCAAGAGCGAGTGTGCAGCCTAGAAGTATCAAATAGTCCCTAGTTATCTGGAAGTTATGATAACTTAGAAATGCCAAATGGTCTCTTGTTATCTGGCGGTTATAATAGCCTAGAAGTACCAAATGGTCCCTAGTTATCTGGCGGTTATAATAGCCTAGAAGTACAAAATGGTCCCTAGTTATCTGGAGGTTATGATAGCCTAGAAGTACCAAATTGTTCCTTGTTATCTGTATGTTATCATAGCTTAGAAATGCCAAATGATCCCTTGCTATATGGAGGTTATGATAGCCTAGAAGTGCCAAATTCTCTCTTGTTATCTGGAGGTTATGATAGCCTAGGAGTATCAAATGGTCCCTTATTATCTGGAGGTTATGGTAGCTTTGAAGTACCAAATGGTCCCTTGTTGTTTGCAGGTTATGATAGCCTAGAAGTGCCAAATGATCTCTTGTTATCTGTAGGTTATGGTAGCCTTGAAGTACCAAATGGCCTTTTTTTATCCGGAGGTTATGAGGTTTAGCCTTTGGAATAGGCTGCTTTCACATGTGGTGGATGCAGTTAATGCACAAGCTGCTCGTGGGCATACCTCGTGAAGAATTATTGTTAATAGTTTTCATTAACTTACTTAATATGACCTCATGTAACCTAATATGTATCTAGTTACTTGTATATCATTAAATAAAAAATATACATAAAAAAGAAATATAGTTACTTACCTTTGACCTCTTTTTTTTTGCTGTAGGTTGCTGAAATTTAAGCCTATTTTTATAATGATGGTACTAGTACACTAAATATTTTTTTATTTAGTTAAATAATGCACCTAAGAACACAGAATAATAATGTACACAAAGCAAATAATTTCCTATAAACATAATAATTTAACTGGCTTTCTAACTAAGATAAGAAGTGCTTAAAATGATTCTCTTAACAACACGATCTGAAACTTTCACACTGAGGATGAAATTGACAATACTCTGTACTGAAAACAACGTAGCATTATACATCATTTGATAGATTTAACTTTGCCTTTCTATTTGTTATAAATGACATAATATAAAACTTTAATAAAATTTATTGTCAATTTGTGAACGAGAGGATGTGACAGGTGGGTGGCAGCGTCTTGTAATAGGTGAGAATACAAGAAAACAAAGGTCAGTGGTAAAAGTTGTCCACTAGTCCAAGTTGCCCAAGAAGGTTCTCCATCTGGAAAAATGACACAAATCATGTGTACACACGTTCTTACACGACATATCCTTTTAGCCGTCGTATAATTCAATCTGCTGAAGAATGAAACAGGTATTCCTGCTATTCTTTATAAAACATACAAGCCATGTCGTCAGACATAGCATCTACGTATTTCTATATGATATCAGTGTTGAAACGGAAGCTGGGAAACCGTGGTCTTCATACACTAGATGTGATTATAGAAAGAGTGCAGGGATGGAATTATGCTTTACACATGACATGCTTATAACTGAGCCTTTTGGAATGAAAGATATGCTGCAGGGCTACTGTCAAAATGCACTGTCATCAAATAGAATATGACTAGATGTGGCTTCATGGGCCATAATACGTGGTAATGCTGCAAATTCGTTTTAATATAAGGTACTCAACCTCTGTATATCTCCGTAAAGCGTTATGTCGCTATCATGATCTATTGTAAAGGATGTAAAGAAAATCGGTGGGAATGGTAGAAAGTACATCGGTAAAAGATGTGGGCCTTTACACATATTAAAATAAGGCCAAATTCATTTTCGAAATTGTTTCTGAAATTAAACGTTACCTTTTTTAAACGTGATTCGAAGGGTGTAAAGGAAATTGATGGGAATGATAGAATTTAGTTAAAAAAAAAGGCATAATCCATTTTCTAAGTTGTTTCTCAAATTAAAAGTTAACTTATTTAGACGTGATTGGAAAAGTGTTCCATTTTCACAAGAGTAATTATCTCATAAAGAAGCAAGACAAAAGCACTGGTATAGATTTTAACATTAGTATGTAAACAAGTACGAAATAATTTTTTTATCCAAAGAATAATTTTTATGATAAGAATTGCCGATTTAGACACACTTAACAATACAGGAAATGCAGCTTTAGCTTTGGACTTATAAAAGTCGAATGAACGAATTATATCAAATCACTAAAATAGATATTTAGCTTCGATACACGAATATCAATAAATCAATAAATAGTTAAAATGTTTCAAATGCCATCTTAATAAATCTTAACATTTGAATAATATCAGTTTCGTTTTTGCATGAAGTTACTAGAAAAAGGGAGTTTTCTGATGGACTCCTATTGGATTGGGTTTCATTCACTTGGTCTTGATGGTCAGTTCGAATGGACAGATGGATCCTTAACCGAATTTATCAACTGGGACAATAACAATGAGCACTTTGAAGCTGAAGAAAAATGTGTTATAATGGACGCTAGTTCTGGTAAGCTTAGAGATTGTAGGTCAAAACATTATCGAAACTAGGCGAACTAATTATTGAAAAATACATTTTATGTTAGTAGAGTATTTTTATTTTCTGTTTAGATAATTTCTGCAGTTGTTATTGACGATATATATCTATCCATTATAATCTCATTATGTATGTATATGTATATATATACAGAGAGGGTAGTCCAAAATTATCTTTCCTATTGGAAAATTTAATAATTGAATAACTTAAGAAAAACAACCACGAAGTTTTCAATTCTTGTAGCCCAACTCAAACAGGTTTTATTGTCAGTTTTTTTTGTCACTCCAGTGAGTAGTGTTACCCTGTAAGATGGCAACCATGCAAGAAAAGCCTAAGTGCGTCCTTGGCTTGCAGGGTGGGCCAATTCCGTGACCTCCGCGTTCACCAGACATCACTCCACTAGACTTCCTTCTTTGGGGGTATATTAAGGACATCGTATATCGCACACCTGTAGCAAACATTACGGAGCTAACGACCAGGAAAGCAGATGGCATAGCCACTGTAACTGTGGACATGTTGCAACGAACGTGGAATGAAATCGAATATCGGTTAGACATGCTGAGAGCCACTAATAGTGCACACGTGAATGACTACTGACATGTCAATCAAAACTGTTAGAGTTGGGCTACATGATGTTGAAAACTGCATGGTTATATTTCTTTAGTTATCTACTCATTAAATTTCAAATAGGAAAGATTATTTTAGGACAACCTGTATATATATAAACATACATACATGATATATGTGTTTATGTTATCAACATAAAGAAGAGAAACTTATCCCGCAGCATTTCAGTATTACATTTAAAATTAAGAAACAGGTATTAAGGAAACATTAACTCTTGCCCTTCAGTGGCTCTGCGGTAACCTTGAAGGCTTATAACGCTAAAATTCGAAGATCATTTCTTGTGGTGATCACAGTGCAAACAGCCTTGCATACTGTACAGCATTTTTCTTAAACAAACATAATTTTAGCTACAAAGATAATAGTACACTGTTGAGCTAATGTACTACTATATGTTGTACTAATATACTACTATCTGTCGAGCTAAATAGTAGTACATTAGCTTCATAGGTAGTAGCACATTAGCTCAACAGATAGCAGCATATTAACACAACAAACAGTAGTACGTGAACTCAATAGATATTCGTACATTTTTAAAAACTAGTAACTCAAGTAACGGGAATTTTTTATACACATGAAAATTGGCATAGCATAAAACTTCAACAATTCGAAAACCCGCGTTATTTTGACCTAAACTTACTAATGTTAAATGCAATAACAAAGTCTTGACTTTAATAAGGAACTGTTTAAATTCTTGTAAATCGAATTTTTAACGATGTAATATGGAAATGATATTTGAAGATATTAAGAAGAAGCCAATAAGTTGATAAGAAAAAACAACAATATTACAGAAGCTGAAAAGCCGAATTTTAGTTGGTTTAGCTCCTAAAGCAGTTACCAGCTTTTCGAAAGAAACTCAATTTAATTGGTTCACAGCCAAATGGATTACTAGATTTTCACAAGAAACTCGACTTAATTGGTTCAGAGCCAAATTCAGTTACTAGATTTTCAAAAATGTTAACTTGTTTTCAGCTCCACGTAGATTAGTTTCTTTCTCTATGTTATTATGGTAATAATAGTGTTTTTTTGAAATTAATTATAAGACACGAGACATACCATCTGGAAAATGTGTTGCCAGAGGCCTTAATATTTGTTGACGTTGTTTTTCTGTTAGCAGGGAAAGTACCAACTGTTGATTTGGACTTACAGATTTGTTCATTCTATTGAGATAAGTTAATATCTCAAATCCCTCCTAGAAAGCTGTAATATGAAACCTATTTATCTTCAATTGAATATTTATTGAGAAAACTGAAGGATTGTTTAATGCTTCATTATTTAACCATGCTAGTAGTTTTGTAATATTTTCATAACAACAATTTAAAAAGCACATCTGATGACTTGCATCATAACGAATTCAAAGCTTTTAAATACCGATTTACTTGTATAAAATCAGTCAAAAGATTATTGAATAGAGTGGTTTAAACATTTGTTTAACAACAAGTATAACATTGGAATGGTTTATTCTTTCATTGGGGTGGGTGTGTGTGGGCCGGACTAGTTTCGGAAAATTCAACTTCTCATCATTGACCCTAGACACTACCACCGAATAAAACTTCAGGCCAAACCCAGCCTTTATAGTAGTGAGGTATCGAAAATCGAAATGGTGTATTTAAGTGTTTTACACTCACAAAAAAGAAACCTATCATTCTATAGGTATTTGAAGAACTTGTAGCATTCCGCCACAATTTAATTCTTCGTATTGTTAGCCGACACTAGGCAGCTGGTACATAATTGAATAGTTGTTTACAAGTTCTTCGGATACCTATAGAATGATATGTTTCTTTTTTGTGAGTGT